GTATGTTTTGTATGTGATGGATGATGAAATCCCAGGATTGTATCTCTTTTGTATGCTCCTTACTACAGTAGTTAAAATACATTGGTAATTGAAATCTGGAAGATTTCTCAAATCATGGATATGAACAGAATCTCCAGTGAATTTTGTTTAGGGCTACCAGATCTAGGGTGGAGAAATCCAGACAAATGCAAGGATAACATATTGCTGTAATCTGGTAGTCATCTAGATTTGTGCAGCCCAAAATGGAGTTGTTCTTTGAGTGAGATGGGTGGTGACTAAATTTGAAATATAACGAAAATAAAATAAAGAAATAATTTGTTCTTAGTTTCATGGGAACAGGCCAGACTGTCTTCCTTCCATCCATCAGGTTACCCAGGAATGATGAACATGCCAGCTTATCCTTCTGTGCCAGTTGTGGGAGGAATGATGCCAGCCACCATGCCAGGAATGCCAGGAATGCCAGGAATGCCAGGAATGGGATCAGTGCCAGGTAACAAAAATACAGTGACTTGAGGGTTCAAATGGGATGAAACCCAGCAGAGAAAGAAAAGGCCCAACTTCTGGGAAGAGGCCACAATCCTACTAACCACATTAGGCTTTCCAATACTAAAAGACCCCATTGTAAGGGTTTAAAACACATCCGTTACTATCTGTCAGTGCCATACTTTGCTACTTGCTCCTGTAATTCTGCTTAATGAGCATGATTTTTTTTAAAAGCTTTTATTTGCAAATAATTTTTCACAATTTGTCACATTATTAAATCCATCCCCAAAACATAATGTAGCACAAATAAGAGGTTTGATGTATATATGTGTTTAGTTTTAGTTTTATTGGACTATGCTCTTCATTTATCAAGACCTCTGATAGTCTGCCAGTGGATAAACTTCAGGAAGGAAAAACATTCCCATTAATGGCAGCATCAGAGTTGACAGTGGTATGCTGGTCCGGGCCCCTCAAATGATCCTGAGGGACTAGAGTAGGGATGGGCAATGTATGGAGGATCAGGAGCTACAACTCTGGCTTCTAGCTTTTTTCGTGGCTTTTAAGAATGGGTTGCCAGCAGAAGGGCTCTGATACAAAGCACTCTCTTAAAGCCACTCCAGAACCAAGACAATCTGCAGCTGAAATTCAGCGACACATCTTAAAGAGTGCTGGGTGGACAACAGATTCCACAAACATAAGCTTCAACCTAGGGCAATGGTGTCTTGTTGCACCATTCAGCCAACCCGCCTTTAAAAAGAAAAACTTCCTTTTAAGAACCATGCAACTGAACCATTCAGCTGCTGCCTTTATGGGTACATGTACAGTGAGAGCTTTGGAGAAGTGAATCAGACACAACCTGTTGTCCTTCTGCACTGTTGCTATCGCTGTCCCAAAGTTTGGATTAGTTCAGTTGCCTTCCATTTATATTGGGATAAACACTTTAAGAAGGAGCACTGCTTGTTCTTCATCAATCTATAATAATGATTTCTACAGTCTTATCCTATGGCAGTGATAATTTCCCTAGGAAGAAGCCATCTTTTTATCTTTTATTTGAATTTATTAGCTGCCCAACTCCAATGGACTCTGGGCAGCATACAAATCTTATACACTTTCAATCAAAGTAGAAGTTTTCCACTTGTAGCTTATACAAGAATTTCCATGCATTTAACAGGATGTGGGGACATAGACTAGGAGGAAGCTGATTGTGATTCTATGTGATCACCTCTCTTTTGCTTTCTCTCTCAGCTATGATGATGACTCAGCCCATGATGCCATCAGTGGATCCTAACCAGGCAGCCGTACAGCAACAGTCTGTCATCAACCAACAAGCCTTACTTTTGGTATGTGACAGGGTTAGAGTGAAAGAACCAGGAGCTAGTATGCAAGACAGTAAATTGTCTTGGCTGTGAGTCATGCCTAACTTGCTAGCTATGTGTTGTACAACTTCCCACAACAGGCTGAAGAAATAATTTGTTGTGCAGTACAAGACAACAAAAAGCCAAGCTTTGATTTAGCATCTAATACTAGGGAGTGGGCTCAGTAGAGAGAAATTCCCACATGGGGAGGGTTTTTGTTTTTTGTTTTTGCCAAGTTTGTACATGATTGAAACATACAAATGATGCACTGAAGATGTTACCTAGCTGGGTAACAAAATGTCTGCAAGAAAACAACCAAGCTCAGAGAACCCCAAGGACTCCACAATACAAATGACTGAATTCCTGAATTAAAGATGTGATACCAGTAATACCATAATTATTGTCATGTTTATTTTTTTTAAGAGAACAAAGAGATGCACTGAAGATGTTACCTAGCTGGGTAACAAAATGTCTGCAAGAAAACAACCAAGCTCAGAGAACCCCAAGGACTCCACAATACAAATGACTGAATTCCTGAATTAAAGATGTGATACCAGTAATACCATAATTATTGTCATGTTTATTTTTTTTAAGAGAACAAAGAGCAAGGTGAGAAATATTAGAGAATAATAGATGTAGAGGAGAGACACATGAAGACAACAAGAAGAAAGGGGAATTTTTAAAACGTTAAAGTAGAAATCAAAGTCTAGCTAGTGATTAAAAGTAACCTGAGATCTGAATGTTTGGTGGATATAAATCCATAAAATAAATAAGGAGCAACAACATTTGAATTTTGTTTTGTAGGCTCAGCAGATGACACTTCAAGCTATGAAAATTTCAGAACAGGAGCATCAGCGGCAACAGAAGCATAGATCTCCCGAGTCTTCAAGCCCAAACCAATTATCTTCACAAAGATCACATGAATATTCAAGACAAAGACGAGCCTCACCACACAATTTACCTGAATTGTCAAGGCCAAGACGAGCATCACCAAAGAGGAGGTCACCTGAACCTTCAAGACGAAGGCGAGTATCATCAGAAAGCTCACCTGAATCTTCAAGTTCAAGACAAGTATCACGAAGGAAGCAATCACCTGAATCTCCAAGGTCAAGACGAATATCACCAAAGAGGAGGTCACCTGAATCATCAAGGTCAAGACGAGTATCACGAAGGAAGCAATCACCTGAATCTCCAAGGGCAAGACGAATATCACCAAAGAGGAGGTCACCTGAATCATCAAGGTCAAGACGAGTATCACGAAGGAAGCAATCACCTGAATCTCCAAGGTCAAGACGAATATCACCAAAGAGGAGGTCACCTGAATCATCAAGGTCAAGACGAATATCACCAAAAACAAAGTCATCTGAACCTTCAAGCCCAAAGGAAGCATTACTGTTCAAGAAGTCTCCTAAACTTTCAAGAACAAAAAGAGCATCAGTGCAGGAACAGCCTTCTGAATCTTCAAGACCAATACGAGATTCTTCTTCTTCTCCTCCTCCTCCTCCTCCTCCTCTTCCATCTCAGCCAGCCAATGATATGAGTTCCAAGAGCAGCAACAAAGATGAGCCAATGTCTGACCCGCCAGAATCTCCACTTCCATCACGAGCACGGGTACTGAGTATTCCTTAATAGCACTATAGAATTATTTTTCTGGATAATACTCAACTGAGCCTACATGAGGGAAAAAATCCTATCACTTCATTTTATGGAGTGTAGTGAATGATATCCCCCAGATATACAGTACTGTGCAGAAGTTTTAGGCAGGTGTGAAAAAATGCTATAAAGTAAGAATGCTTTCAAAAATATATATTGTAATTGTTTATGTTTATCAATTTACAAAATACAAAGTGAGCGAGCAAAAGAAAAACCCAAATCAAATCAATATTTGGGGTGACTACCCTTCGGCTTCAAACCAGCATCAATTCTTACACTTGCACACTTTGTACACTTGCACAAAGTCAGGG